TAGACATTTTCAGCGCTAAACAACTGCATCCCCGTCTCTCCCTCTCCTTTTTTTTTGTAACGCTGGGGATTGAACCAAGAGCATCACCTATGCTAGGCAAGTAAGCCACCACTGAACTCCGCCCATTTTTCATTGTTGGAGGAGGGGACAATAAGGTCTCACTAAGTTACTGAGGTTGGCTTTGAACTTGTGATCCTCCGGACTCTGCCTCCTGTGTAGCTGTGATTGCAGACATAGATATGGGCCACTTTACCTGTCCCACGTCAACATCTCTGCCATCTGGGTTGTATGAACAAGTTTGTTTCACATTTTAGTATTTTCAGTTCTCTCTTGTTCACACTTTGTCTCAACGGGGTCTTGTGCAATCCAGGCTGGCTTCTTAAGTGTTATGACCTTGAACTTCTGATCTTTCTGCACCCGCCACGACGTGGTTGACCAAAGTTACAGGCTTGTGTGCTACCATGCCCAGCTTTTTGTGTGTTGGGGAATCACTTCCAGGGCTTTTGAATGTTGGGCAAGAGCTCTAAACTGGGCTACATCCCTAGCCTGTAGTATTTCCAGCTCTTAAACTTTATAAAGATGACTCTGATGGACACTGAATACGCATGCTAAATACTTTCCCAACTCTCCCAATAACCTCTTGGAGCTTCTTTCATCAGAATTGGGTCACAGGTTCCTTGCAGATCTCATAGAACGGACTTGTGAACATGACCTGATCCAAACCCACTCCTGGACTTGGGAAGTCTCCCAGGTGCTTGTGGATAGAGGTGAGGTAAAGAGGTCTGGGTTCCTGAACACAAGGAAGATGTTGAATCAAATGTCTACTTCGATACTTTGAACATTTAAAAAAATTAAACCCCTCAAAAAGTTATACATGTATTAAATCTTTCACAGCAATGTTTAGGTATGAGGCACCCCACTGCCGTACGTGACATTGGGAGTGGAGCCCTGGGCCTCGAGCATCTCAGGTAAGCACTCTTATCAACTGAGCTACAGCCCCAGCCCACAGCTCAGCGAATGGCATGAAGTCTTTAGCAGAGGCACACAATACCAGGAAAACAACGAATCTTCGTTTCCTATAAACTCAGTAAACTTCATCATAATAAGGAAATAGAGGATCACTTCTGCCAGGCACTCATCCAGATAAATGTGAATTAAGACACTCATGGAAATCTCAGCAATGGAAGGTTGTCAACAGAGATAGCATCTGTGATGTATCCAGCATAGCTTGTAACTCAGGATCCTCGTCCTGATCAAGGGCCAGAACTGCAGAGATGCGCTACCATTGCTGATGACAAACACTTTTTGTTTTTGTTTGTTTTTCCCAGTGTATATGGAAGGTACTAATTTTTGATTTAGGATTTAAAAGAAAGATTTTGTTTCTAATGATGTATGGACACATTTCTCTCTCTGTGTGTGTCTGTGCACATGTGAGTGACGATGCCCTCGGAGCCCGGGAGAGGGTGTGAGTGAGATTCTTTGGTTATGAGGCCATAGGTGATGGTGACCTGGCCTCAGTCGGTGCTAAGAAACCGAAATGTGGGGTCTCTGCAAGAGCAGGGTATGTCCGTAACTTCTGAGTCATCACTCAGAACCCACTTTTTATTTCTTTGAAGTATTTAATATTTATGAGGTCTTTAGTGTAGGCCAGGTTGGGCTCCTGAGGATTTAATGAAGGGAATTTGAGTTTAATGGGAAGATTAACTTTTAAGGAACTATCAGTACACTCTGAGTATCAAATTAACTATGGGTGTTACGTTGTTGTCATCAGAACTTTATACCTTTGTGTTTTTAAAATCTATGGATGTAACAAATACTGAATTATATTTGACACAGTACATTTTTAAATGAAGTTCTTCCCAGTAGTGGCCAGGCCACAGTCGATACATTTATAGTCATGAAATATTTCGCTATAGTGAGTGTCTTTTTACAAATGATCTTTTTTTTTATTTTATGTGCATTGGTGTTTTGCCTGTATTTATATCTGTGTGAGGGTGTTCAGATCCCCTGGAGTTGGAGCTACAGGCAGTTGTAAGTTGTCACGTGGGTAATGGGAATTGAACCCGTGGCCCCTTTGGAAGAAAAGACAGTGCTCTTAACTGCTGAGCCATCTCTTCAGGCCATGTAGTGAGTGTTTTAATTTCCATATTTGAAAGTAGGCAGTCTATCATTTAAGGATCTAACTTGTCTCATGGGAAATTTGTTTAATAATTATAGTTGAAGGGTCAAACAAATTCAACTTGGTTACACAACATGTTTCTGCGCCGATGACAAAACATTTTGAAGTTCTAGAGAGAAGCATTTAAACTCTGTGACCTTTATTTTACCATATGCTCATTTATAGTGTATGTAAGGATGGATAAAAGATACAGAGCCCAAATCTACAAATAGTATTTTGTGGTCGGACTCATTTCTATACCACAGCTATTTGGGGTTCAATATGCAAAGCAGCTCGAACAGGCTATCTTCAGCTTCAACTGAAACAGCATGCTAGAAGCTAAGTCCAGGATGGAAAAAAAAAATCCCATCTCAGTGAGAGGAAAATGCGGAGGGGGAAGGTAAAACAAAGCAAAGTGGCCTTTGTAGCTAACCACTTTTGCAAGCTGGAAGCTGCATGGCCAACGTCGTGAGGAAACCAAGCCTGGGCCATGTGTCTCTAATCCACAGCAGGCGAATGTTCCAGGAGGACCGGCTGTCTGGCAGAGACGCGTAGAGCGGCATGTGAGGCCCAGGTGCTTCCACTTACAGCCACCCGGGATCCAGCGTGCTTCTGTGCTCACGTGACGGGCCGTGCCCTTGGCCACTTCCATCAAAGTAAACAGAAGTAGGACCAGACAGAGTTATGTTTGGAAGGAGCCTCAATTAAACGAGGCATTGTGTATGAAGTGCCTGGCAAACAGACCGGGCCCAATAAATGTTAGCTTTTTCAAAATTCGGCACTTGCACTGGAGGAAGCCCAGAAACAGTAATGAAAGCAATGGTTGTTCCCAACCTGGGAGGCCTGATTGCAGCCATCTTATTCCAGCTAACAAGAAGAGAGTTGTGTTGTGCTGTGGTTCGTGGGATGAAAATACGGCTAGACTTAACTGTAATTTTATCTTGCTACCTTTGTACCACTCTGCATTGACTTTAAAATCAGCCATCTTGGGTGGACTTCCTGTTGTTTTTAGCAGACCTATAAACAAAGTACCTATTTTCCTATTCTGCTTTTCATAGGTTCATGGGAAAGGAGAGGACATAGCATGAAACAAGTGACCAAAATGAGTGACTGTCCTGTGTGATGAGCATTTCAGGGAAATTTCCACAGTAACAAACACACAGGACTTATGCTCCCCCATTTCCCTCGAGAAAAGAGAAGGCCTCCCACTGAGATCCACCAAACACAGCAAAATAAGATGCAGCAAGACTAGGCATACTTTCGCCAACTGTTACTGCATTCATACATGTGTTTGTGTGCACACATACATTCCCAAACATAACCTGCTGCCTCCACAATACCGCTACGTGTATGAATGTTTTCAGGGCTGACCATTTTGCATAGGACGACCAATTGAAAATACATTTCTCATTCCTGGTCTTTCAGAAGAGCTACTCTTAATATCTTCCCTTTGAAATTTTTACTGTGTCTACCATTATCTAATTAAATTTTCTATAATGATGAGAAGTTTTTGTCTGGGTGCCACATGACAATTCAGTACTTAAAGTGTGGCTTGTTAATCAGCAATGGGGTTCCTAAATTTATTTCATATCATCTAAGACCACTATTCTGGGCACTGAAGGTTGGAGGGGCATTTACTGTGGTAAGGAAAATGGAAGCAAGGTGCTGTGTAGATGAGCAAGCGTTGATAAAAGTGAATGAATTATAGCCTTTCCATAGGCTTTCACCGCTTTCAAAGGGCTGCCCTTTTTTAGATATACTAAGTGCTTAGTAAAGAATATCATTTGCCAAAAGTGTAGTTATGCACCCTTTAACAATATTTTGGCCAATGACAGACCAGTCCTGTGGTTATAACCTTCAACAGTCCTTGAATGTCACAAGGAACTGAAACCTCCCATCACCCAGTGATGTTAAAGTCATGGGAACATTTTGTGGCACACACAACTCATATGCTGGCGGAAGCCTCTGTTCCTGGCCCTACAGTACACAATCCTAGTTACCCAATAGCGATGGTTGCTGGCTCCTGTATTAACTATAACTTTTCATGCCTTTGGGAAGTGTTCACTTCTTCCCTGCCGTCATTTCCATACTAGACAGCTATCAGCCGGCAGCTTGAAAAGTTTTGGCACTATTCCGCATCTCCTGGTTAGGTTTCTCCTTTCAGTGCCATTTTCTTTATATCCATGCAAACTATTCTTGGGTAGTAATCTGTCCTTCCTGCTAGAAAACCGGGATTTCTATAGTTCCTACAAGATCAGCACTTTGAACCTGAGAAATTCCTGAAAAGGGGGAGGAAACAGGCACCTAGCATACTAAAGGCCTGGGTTAGTCACCAAGCGTCACCTCCTTGGGCTTGCTTGTCGCTTAGTAGGTCATCATATTCACATTACGAAAGAACGTAGATTGAATAAAAGGAAGTAAAGCAGGGTGTAAAAACCAGAGGCCTTCCATAACTGTGTGTGGAGTAGCGCGTCTCTATATAGTTCATCTTGATTACTTTTGGACCAGAATGAAATTCTATGTACGCTTTTCCCAGCAGGGGTTGAGAACGTGCTCCCCTGCCTATGATGCCAACTATAATCATCTTTCCCTTCCTTTTGGGAGCAATGACTGACCCTGCTGTACACATGACCCCCCCCACACACTTCCTTCACCGCCCGCCTCTTCATCAGCCTCGGCCGCCTGCCGTCCCCGCGAGCTCCACAGCCCCATTCCAGCCCGTCACACGACGGTCGCGTCAATCCGCCCTCTCCGCCGACCCCCGCCACCCGCGCCAGCTTCCGCCTCGCTTGCGTCTCGGCGGCTAGTGACGTAATGACCCGCTTCCCCGTCGGCGGCGGCGTGGGCAGTGACGTCACCGCGCCCTGACGTCAGACCGACGTGCAGCGCGGTCGCCCGGGAGACCGGGGAAGCCGTTTCCACACCCTGAGGAGTCCCGGGCTAGGTGAGGGTCACGCCTTCCTCAGCTTGAGGAGAACAAGGCCTGCCAGGACGCAGTTCCGGCGCGGAGGCTAGGGCACGGGACCGCGGGGGCGGCGGGGGACGGCGGGGGCGGCGTGGGTAGCGGGGTGGTGAAGGTGGGGGAGGAGGTGAGGGTGGGGGTGGCGGGCCTCTGGGCCAGGCCTGGGGCAAGTGCGGTCTGGCCAGGCGGTTAATTTCCAGACTCGGGACGTGACCTCCCGCTCTCCTGCCCCTGACCTGCCCTCCTGTGATTCACGTCCCCGGAATGGTACTTGAGGAAGGGCCTGGAAGCAGAACCCGAGTTTAATGACCGGGCGTGACATTGGTGTAAGAATCGGAAATGAACCACCAGGGACGTTCCTACTTTTAAAAACACACGTCTTTCTCGTGACCTGCGTGTCGCAGGGAAGATTGGCAAACACCCACGTAGGTGCAGCCACGTACCACCTTGCTTTTGCCAAGGGGCAGTTTACACATGTGAAATGGGAAAGACCAAAGGAACTTGTTTGGTAAAACAGGCAAAATAACAGATGGGCAAATTAAAAACTCCAAGTTTTCTCTTGCCAAAAAGCAACCCTCACCCCCCCCCAAAAAAAAAAAACCACACACACACAAAAAACACCCGAATTATCTTTGAATTCTTCCTCTGTTCTTTTTTGGGTATTCAAATACTTATAAAGACCCGATGGGCTTTTCTTAAAGGTTTAGAAGCCATTTCCTTAAGATATAGGCATAACAAAAATGAACATTAAAGAAAATAGTGTCTCTGTCATCATCTTGGGAATTTCGGTGTCTACCTCCTAGTTGCAACCGGCTGCATGTGCTGCTTAGCAGAAAAGCAACTAGGAACTCCAGTTTACAAGGATTTTACGATAACATACTACTATATAGCAAACAGTGTTAAAGACCTCTTTGTATGAGAACAAATTACCAATGCTCTTTGGACGAATGCAATGAATGTATATTGGCTGTATGAAAAGAATGGGATCCCTAAACTATTTTAGGGATATTTTCTGCGAGGTGTTTCAAAGTCAAGTTAAATACTCATTCAGCTTTTCCCACCACCACTAATGTTTTGGAGGGCCCCCTAGTTTACCAGGGTGCTATTTTTAATTTTTTTTCATAGGCTGCAGCCTACCACGTCTAGTGGTATAGTAATAGGTTGGTGTAGAGTCACAGTGAAGACACTAGATAAAATATATTCCTCTGGTACTTGAATTTATACTGTATTTAGATCCATGCTAGCTAATACTTTTGTAAATGGTACTGTTAAAGGAGATTTAGTTGGTAATTTTGGGGGAAAATATTCCTAGTGGACCTGAAGATATGATCATTTGCATTAACTAAAGATGACTGAGGATAATGAGCCTTCTGGTTTCATGCCATGTGACTGTGACAGAATGGCAAACATCAGATTATGTACTTGGTCACTTGGACCCATGCTGACATAATTTACTCCCGTGGTTGACCTCAGCTAACATGACCAAACATACACATTGTCTTGTGTTTATGTTGTCTGTGGGAAGACAGCTCATTAGTTGTTGGTCTTAAACAGCAGCTTATCGAAATGAGGGCTATTTGGGCCAATACAGAGTTGAGGAATCTCTCTTCCACCAATGGTTGAGTAATTTGCAATAAAAACACTTATTATTATTATTATTATTATTATTATTATTATTATTATTATTATTATTATTATTATTATTATTATTATTATTATTATTATTATTTTTATTTAAGACAGGGTTTCTCTGTAGCTTTGGAGCCTGTCCTGGAACTAGCTCTTGTAGACCAGGCTGGCCTCAAACTCACAGAGATCTGCCTACCTCTGCCTCCCAAGTGCTGGAATTAAAGGGAGCACCACCACCGCCCGGCTAATACCAGTATTATTTTTGACTTCACTCTCCTGCCCTGACCTAAGGCAAAGAACCTTAGGGAGCCTTTTCTAACTTCCCATCCCCACCTAAAGGATAGCTCAGTATCCTTTCCTGATTCTGACACTACCCCCGTTTATCAGTCATAGGCTTTTGACCTTCATCCTGCCATGGAGTCTCTCTGTCCCTTGAGTCTGCTGCACCACTCCACACCACCATCCTGGCCTTGGCCTCTCTCTGCTCTTATGTGTGTGTGTTTATGTTTGGTGTGCATGCACGTTTATGTGTGTGTGGACCAGGTGTGTTCACCCTCCACCTTATGGGGGTCTCCCACCTGAATTCTGAACTGGTCCGTTCAGTGAGTCTAGCTACCCAGCTTGTCTCTGCCTCCCAAGGCTGGGATTTCAGGTAGACTCTTCCAGCCCTGCATTTGTGGGTACTGGGATCACACTTGTGTGGCAAGAACTTTACTCATTATGCCATCTCCCTGGCCCCTTTACTCTTTCCACGGATAGATTTATCTTCCACTCATAAAACTGGATGGGGTATTCTTTGTCCAGTTTGGGAAAAAATTTGAAAGAAGAAAATGCCTCTGTTGCCTGTGTTTTCATGAAAGTAATAAAAAGAATTTTATAATGAGTTAGAAGATGAAAATCTGTTAAAATCTAGATAAATTTGCATATTTATCCATCTCAGCTACATGTGGTCTTTGATGCTTTGATGGCTTTTCTGTTTGGTGGCTATATATCCTAGCTTAGTAACTGCATTTTTTGTGTTTTATAACTTAAAGAAGACTTGATGGTACATTTCTTTCTATAGCTTTCAGATAAAATGTTATTTTAGAATACTGAAATAGGTCTGTTTAAAATCTTACAGTTACTCTGTTGTAAAACAAATAATGAATAAACCACTATTATTTTTTGTTATGACTTTATAACTTTCTGAAAAATAGAAAAGACGTGTTAGTAATTTCTGTAGTTTCCTGTGTGGCTTAAGGACTAACTGTGGAAACTTAACTTGTACCTTCTGCCATGGAGCCATGAAACAAGCATCTGTTAAACTACGTATTGCCGGCTCATCTCCAGATATTAAGAATCTTTTAAATCACTTGAGTTTTCCTGCCATTGTTGGATTCTGACCGTTGCCATCCCTGTTTGTAGCGTGTTTTCCTGCAGTACGTCGGGGGAATCATGGATCGTCACATTCCCATGCACGCGTTACCGGAAGAAATCCAAAAGGTATGACTTTGCATCATAAGCATCTAACATTAGGAGTGTTTTAGCTGTTAGATCATTCTAAAGTATAGGGGAGTGAATTTGGAAAACGACAGAATTGATGATTAATTCGTGATGGGAGAAGGAATAACCACACTGTAGACATTCCCTGCAAAGACTATGTAAGACAGATATGTAATTCCACTGTGGTATTTTAACTGCTAGTTTTAGAGTCCTAGTGAAGATTTCAAATCCCAGAAATGGTCATGTTTGTAACTTTTTGTGATATTTTTACATAATGCATTTTCACCTAAATTAATTCTCACGGTTCACTGTATACCAGCTGCTGCTTTGTTTTGTCTTAGACAAAATTTAATTGTGTAGCCTTAGCTGGTTTGGAACTCACTACATAGACCACACAGGCCTGGAATTCACAGAGATCTGCCTTCCTTTGCCTCCTAAGTGCTGGGGTTAAAGGTGAGCACCACCACACTGGTGTTTAGATACTATTTCGATCAGTTACCGATTGGTTTTGTCCTTTGCAGATGGAAATTGTGGGTAGGCAAGGGAAAACTTTTTCAGGATTTATCCCTTGGCAGTTTTGGGTGCTGGTAACAGGGCAGCGGGAACAAAAGCAGGTGGCTCTGGGCAGTATCCTCCTCTCAGGAGGCCTTGAGTGGCAGCAGCCGTGGCTTCGGAAGTGTGAGAGTTCCTGTACAAGCTGGAGTAGCAGAACCCTTTACAGGTATTTCCTTCTTGTGTGGGCCTAGGAAGCTGGGATTCCTAAGACCTAAGGTCTGGGAACTATTGAAGACACCTGGCCCTAAAGACAATTCTGAACCTCTTCTAGTAACCAGGGCCTGCAGTTCTCTGATTCTTCAGCTCCAGCTTCCTGTCCTCTCTGTGCTCCCACCGTTCCTCTCGTTCTTGCCCTGGCTTAGATGTTCAGTAGCTTCTTGTTGTTATGGCCGCTGTCTTAGTTGCCACGGTCCACGTGGGAGGCAGTTGCCGCTGCCCATCTCTTGCTGCTGTTGTGGTCACATGCACAGCTCAGTGGCTCCACCTCTTGAGCTGCCACTCTGCTGCTTTTCCAGCTTGGACTGTTGACCCCTAGCTGTGCGTCAGCTCTGCAGAGCGTCAGCTGTTCAGCAGATGGCTGCCCTGCTGCTTCTGGCTGCTCAGCCATGACCGCCGCAGCCGATCCATTGACGCTGCTCTTGTTCCCAGCTCAGCCTGTGCTACCAAATGTGGGCGAGGAGACACCACTGGGAAGAAGCCGCTTCTTGTGCCCAGTGCTGCAAAACGAGGGAGGAAACACAGAAGGGTGTCTCCTGTCCAACTCCCCAAGTGAGCACACAGCCAATTTATATAGCCAGAGAAAAGGTGTTTGCTGGAACCACAGCCAGCCTCCCATGCAGACAAGACAATGTCCCCTTTGTGCCTGTCTGTAACAGTCACTTTGCTAGGCCCCCATGGAAAGCACTCCCCCTCTCTGGCCTACGTAAAAATAGTAGCAGAGTCATCTAGAGCCCACGATAGCAGAAACTCTGATACAAATGGTTTACAACAATTTTGGCTGTGCCTGCATCTTCAGGAGCCAGAGCAGGCATCTGTGATGATTGTGTCATTTGTTCAGGACCTCTCCGAAGTGTTCGGAATGGCAGATGCTGGCATAGAAAAGTCCAGCTGGCTATTTAGCCAACAGCCCTTTTAACTCAAGGCAGCCAGGGCAGCATGGGAAAGCCCAGCAGCTGCATCTAGAGAATCAAATGGCCACACCCCAACATCTCTGCTTATTTATAAGGAAACATGAGTTTTTAAATAACTTACCATTTATACTGGTAGTGATCCTGATTGTACTTTAATAGTAATACTCAATGCCTGTATAACACCCCAAGGAGAGGTAAATTTCCCTGTTTGTCTCAATTTCACATTTTAAAAAGTGTGTGTATAAAGCATAGCACGTGGAGGTCAGAGGCTGACTTTTGGGAGTTGGGTCTCTTCAATCATTGGGTCCTGATAATCAAACTTGGGTTGTCAAGCTTGGCAATGGGTATCTGTATTTGCTGACCTAGCTTACCAGCTTTGATTTCCTGTTTAAAATTCATGTAGTCTAGTTAACAAGTAATTCTTGGTTTTTATCCAACCCTTATCCCTATTACTTTACATCTGTTCTCAGGCAAAGGCATTTCTTCTGTAATTAGTTTTAAATACATACATTGTTAATATAATAGTTAAAAAACACCTCTTCAAAAACTATTGACATGAATTGTGGGTTACAACCTTACGCCTTAGCTGTGCCTATTGATACAGACAGCTTCTTTTAGCAAATCTAGCAACAACTCTCCCACCCTTATCCTACTCAGAATCGAATGTAGGACCTCAAGCATGTCTGCAATACCCCCAGCTTACAGTCAGCTCTTCATTAACTAGTAATTTGTCACTCTCATTGAAAACCATGCTCAGATGCAGATTGGCTTTTGCCAGTGTTCATGCTGCTGTGGATGGCCTGTTAACATTAATCACAGCATCGATTGGACCTGCTGCTCTTCTTGCTGCCCACCTTCCCTATTTATGGAAGCTTTAAAGGAAGTGCAGTTACCAGAAGAGATCCTTTCAGTCACTGCCTGTGATTCTCTTTACCTGTGAAGTTAACTGTTAGGTGCTAAGCACATATGATGCTCAGTTATGCTGCTACTTCAGGAATGGTGCTTCCATGGGTTTGAACAAATGCAATATCTTCTCACTTGAACTGTGTTCCTTGCATGAAATAGCTTGAGTGAGAGATGAAAAGAAACTGTAAAACAAAACAACCTAAAAGCAAAAGCTCATATTTCAGACCCTAATCTCTTGTCAGAAAGAATGAAGAAACAGTAGAAAGGAATACAGTAGAAAGAAAATCTACAAGACAATGTTATAATCTAAGTCCCATGTAAGACAGTGCCCAGGAGGCCAGAGAAGTAGGCACCTACTGCCAAGCTTGATGATCTCTGTTGGATCCCTGGGACCCATGATGGAAAGAGAGACAGCGGATTCCTGCAGGTTGTCCTTGTGAGAGTGGAGAGTTGACGACTAGAATCCCTGGATGCTGGAGATCATCAAGGTGGAGTCTTGTGCAGAAGATGTGGACCTAGAGTTGGTTCCTGAAAGCTGAGTGTTTCTACAGACTTAGAGTGGTGGGGTGCTCTTGCCATGTTTGAGGTAGTTAAAGTATGGCAGGTACTATCATGTCAGTGTAGAGAAGGGGGACAGCAGGAGAGGCTCAGCTGTCTAAGCCAAGGACAAGTATACTAGTTATAACCTTGTCCTGCCCAGTGTTCGGAAGGTAAAGTATAGCTTTGTGCTTTTTTCAGGATCTAAGTTAGATATACTTATGTAAATAATACTTTTATACCCATTAATGTCATGTGCTTTTCTGGTGGTTTGACTATAAATGTATGTGGACATCCCCAAAAGTCTTCAAAAGTAAGCTTTTCTTTTCCAAAACTTTCCCCTTAAATGTTATCTGCATTGTCCATATTTATTTAGTTACGTAATGATCAGGCAGTATTCTATATTGCCAGTTTGTATGTATACAGAATCATGTTAAATATAGAAATATGCATATTAGGCATCCCTGGTCTGAAATGCAAAATGCTTCAAGAGCTGGAAATTGTCAAGTGCTTATATTATCTTACAAATGTAAATTTTACATTATGAATTTCTGTTTCATGCATGCACTTACTGAGATGTATCATATTTAGGCTAGGTATTTAACACAGGTAAGGCATGAGTGGAGCTTGTATGTAGACTTGGGTCTTAGTTCAGAAATCTCATTTTATATGTGCATACAATCCACAGTCTGAGAATATGCATAATTTGAGCCACTTGTGTTCATAAGCACTTCAGTTAAGGATAATTATCATATATAGTTTGTAATGACAATAGTAATAATTCAAATCAGAATCAATTCATTCTTATGATGGAGAAAAGGGGACTTTTTCATAATGGCCTAGAAAATGTGCTTCACTTTTCCTTTCTTTTTCTTTAGAGGAGAAAAGACTTAAGGTGGATGAGTCAGAGTGCAGTGACAGAGATGTCTTTCAAAGCCCCCTCCCCACTCTTTCTTGTCTCTTAACTTTTTGTATTACTTTATAGGCTGGTTCTTCTTCCTAAAGAAGCCCCTGCTGTGTTTTCTTTATTTTCTTTTTCTGTGTATAGGCAAGGAGGGCTAGTGCAGAAACCAGAGAGGAGAGGCAAGAGAGCCTTTCTTCTTTCTCTCTGTACTTCTGCTGTGATGTGATAATGGACGTTCAGTGCCTTAGGATGAGAACATGGCTGTGCTCCGCTGTGCCATTAATAGCAAAGTGAGCAGTACTGGGGAAAGGACACTTGGAGGGAATGAAAAGGAGGTGAGAGAGATGGCTCTCAGAGGAAAGGATGGAGAAGAATGAGGATGCTGATAAGCCGGAGTTGGAGTCTGTTGCCTGCTTTTGTTGGTCTCCTCCCAGGGGTTCCTAAGGAAGGAGGAATAAGATAATCTTTGACTTTCATTTCCAGGTTCCTTTTTATCATAGTTTCTGGCCGCACACAGAGCACTTCTCAGACTTCCATTTCCGTAAGTGACAGAAAGTGTGCGAGAGGCTCATGGGGCATGTATGTCACATGTGTCTTTTTCTGGACTCTAAGTCTTTTCTCTGCATACATTGCACACCATCCCTGAATCTCTTCTTCCCCTGGGCTGAGGTAATTCCTACCTGTCTCTGACCTCAGGTAGTCAGTAGTGTTGCTAGAAGCTTCATCCACTGTCCTTTAGTAGACTGCAGTATTCTTTCTTTCTTTTTTTTTCTTTTTTCTTTTTTTTTTTTGGTTTTTTCAAGACAGGGTTTCTCTGTAGCTTTGGAGCCTGTCCTGGAACTAGCTCTTGTAGACCAGACTGGCCTCAAACTCACAGAGATCCGCCTGCCTCTGCCTCCCGAGTGCTGGGGTTAAAGGTGTGTGCCACCACTGCCCGGCTCATTTCTGCATTATTTTTTACTCTTACA